ATATTTAAAAATAATTTGTGTTTATATGAAAAATGTAAAATATTAACTCACTCTTTTCTAATACCGAAGCGGCTGCACCTGGAAGAGGTAGTGTTGCTCTCAAGTCTTCATCTTTGCTGGATGATTCCAAAGTTGGTTCCGTGGTGGTTTGAACGTTTCCAGCATTTGCTGGAGAGCGCTCGGGACTAAGACTGCCATCCTTGTTACGCCTTACGTAATTTCTTTGTCTAGCGTTTGCTCTGATTTCTTTAAATGTAGGTGGATGAGGAGGAGAGACTATCAATGAACCAGATTGCTCCTCCTCAGTGACACCACTAGAATTGCTTAGACTTGAATTGGATTTTGCATCATTACGCCTAGGAATTCTGTATGGAGGGCTTGGACTGCGTTTTCTAGATTTCATATTCTTTTTTCGATTTTTGGAATTTTGAAAGGATTGAGGAGAGGTTCGCGAGGATGGTGAACTGTCTCCACTATCTTTTTCACGAGATTTGGACCTAACAGGACTGGCATCTCTGTCAACTTTCGGTATTTTACTCGGAGATGTTTGAGGTTGTTTAGATCGCGATTTATTACCTATTTTTCTATGTGAGGATTTCGAGGAAGAGGAAGATTTGTCGATTACCGAAGATGAAGAAGTTCGAGAGTTCGAATTCTTCGAATCTTTCGACTTGGAATCGTTACTTCCACCTCCTCTATTACTCGTGGATAAAGAACTATTATTACCCACAGACAGATTTTGAGAACCTTTGGAGCTATTACTGTTTAGGTTACCACTACTATTACTAGACAATCGAGGGTCTTTCTTTTGACTTGTTCGATGCGACACAGCATCTTTATTTGCGTTACCACTGAAATTTTTATTGTTATTATTATTGTTGAAGTTCGTATTAGCATTATTGTTATTACTAGCGTTTAATGTCGCAGTATCGGAGCCGGCAAGATTTGTCGGAGACTTGTTGATAGTGCTAGTCACAGCCTGTTTCAAAATTAACTGCTGTTTTAATTGATCTGAAAGTACAGTATTTGTATTTGCCGCTAGCTGCGCTTGGCTTTCGCCCCGCGAATCCTTCTGAGTTGGTGTACTTATTCGCTGTCGAGGATCCACGCTTGAAACTGGTACATCTTGAGTCGAGGTTTTTATTCTTGGGTCACGAGATACCGGTTTAGCTGATGCTACTGCTATACTACTAGCTGGTGCAATTCGTGGACCATTGTTCGTTCCTGCATTTTTCAGAAGCGAAGCAGTTGCTGCTGGAAACTTAAAACAAAAACAGAAATGTTATTAAAAAATAATACATAACAAAATGGTTTTACTTGATTTGATTTTGTGATGCAATGAAAATGTATAATTTAAATTACCTGTTTTGCTACTTGTTTTGGTGCTTGACTTGGCACAACACTTGTAACAGGTTTTCCTTGTGTGACAGTGTCTGTGCTTGGTGTAATATGTGCTGTAGCTGCAACCTATTTAAATAAAAATAAATAAAGTTACAATTTAAAGCTACAATTTGAAAATGCAGTTAAAAAGAAACATTATTTTGTGACTCACCAGTTCACTTTTTAAATTTCCAGCTTGTTTATCGAGTTGCCGTTGTTGTTGTTCTAAATTGGCTTTAGCTTGAAGTAATTCTAATTCAATCTTTTTTTTCTGTAATTCTATCAGTTCTCGTTGTTTTTTCAATAATTGCTCTCGCATTGCTGCTTCCGTTGGTGTCACAGGATCACCAGGTGGAAGCTTAACAGGTGCTACAATTGGTTGTGAAACAATAGATGTTGCTGATTGTTGAGGCTAGAAAGAAAACATTATATACATAAGTATTTTACGTATAAAAATATATGATCATATTCATTATAATTTTGTTAAACCAACCATTGAAAAAAAACGAGGATTAACATGGATAGATCCTGAAGAAACACTAGTAGGAGAGGCAGTGATTGGCCAGGCAGGATCAATGCTTTGCACTCGTACATCCAAAGAAAATAATTTCTTTGGTGGAAATACATCATTCCATGTTTGTCTTAATTTCCACATGCTGGCTCTTGTATTCTCATCCACCTGTTCATTTATACAAATACTATTGAGCTTCATGTTTATGTTTCTCCTATTTTTAAGAAGTTTTATAGATTACAGTACATAGAGACAGTGTAGAGACATAAAATACAATGACCTGATATTGATTAAATGATTATCTTATAGCTTTACAGAATGTAAAGTCTCACAATTGAAACCACAGAAAAATTACATTAAAATAAAATAAGAATAAACGTATTTTATAAAGGAATAGAAATGATTAATATATGTATATCTAGATAATGCATTTTTCAAATAGTAATTAGCAAACATACCTTTTCAAATACTCCACAAAAAGTATTTACAATATTTTGTGTGAACAGATTTAAATACGCTCCATTAACATTCTTCACAATTGAATCAATCAAATAAAGAACAGGTAATTTAATATCACTTCTCACCTATTAAAACACAATATGTATATATATATTTATAAGTTATACCAATAAATTAAAGCCATTATTTCATACCATAATACAGATTCAAGAGTGAACAAAATAATTGAGAAACTTAAGTGGTGATTACAGAAATAATTACATTGCATCATATAGCTTATTATACTTCATTTACTTTATTTTTACTATATCTTAAATAAGCAAAGGTATGAAATACAGCTTTATTAGTTTTACCAATTATATCTATTTTATAAGTATTTAAAAAAAAATGTAATTTCCAAGACTCCCATTTCTTATAAATAATAAAAGAATAAGATTAACACTAGAACAACCAGTTTTTATTATATATTAGAATATTCTATATATAAATCATTATGATTTAAATGATAATTAAAATAAATAATTTATACACTTGTGTTTCTGTTTAAACAAAAATCAATATTAATTTTGATAAAAATATCTAAATTTTTTTATAAGCAATTATAAAAAAAAGAAAATCTGAAATCAGTCATACTGACGGGTTTGGTTATTTTAGTGTTAAATAAGTATATAACAATGTAAACATAACAATATATTTTATAATGTACAAAAAAGCTTATATAATTTTGAACTAACTACAATGGATAAATAACCTTTTGCAGATGATTCTCTACAGCTTGTACAATTGCTGGTGCATGTTCTATGTTGTCTTCAGCCAACATAGTAAGCATATTAATCAATGGTTTACTATTGATCGTCAAATCGGACAATGATGAGATGTACTCATCTGCTATTTCCTTAGATTTTGTGGATGTCATGATGTTGTGTTGCCAATTGATAATTGCAACAAATCTTCGTCGAATTGACAATATTTATTACACTGTAACACACGAAACAATATTAAAAATTCATGTTTTTTAACATAGCAAGACTATAAAATAAACACATATTTCTTATTGACTCTTTATTAAAATAATATACTGACTGACAAAAATTTATTAATATTTTATGATGCAACTTTAATAACTGCTTTAAGGTATTCTTAATATGGAAAAGTATTGAAAAGAGTTGAATACAAAATTTATTTGTGAAAAGAATTGAATACAAAAATTACAAAATTACAAAAATTTCAATTAAAAAATTTACACTATTCTACAATTTTAGAAATAAATAATAAAAACGTTACAATAGTTCAAAATAACAAAGTTTAAAGTAACAATAAATTGTTAACATCATAATTTAATAAAGCGTTAAAGAATAATTGTTTATTACATATTTGTAAGAGTATAAAATAAAAATAAAAAAATTTAATGTATAAAAAAAATTATTTGTTACACGAATAAGAATATAATACCTAACAGAATTTTTACTATTTCTTGGTTTTCTTATAGTTAGACTACACCACTTTTACTGAACTAAAATATAGGGACAAAAATGTTGGCCACGTATACAATGTCTCAAAATTCTACTCATACGAAATAAATTAAGACAATTAAAACTTGGACGATAACTAGTATGTTACTATTTCTATTTATGTAATATTGTTTGATATCTTTTTACAAGAGATTGATAGACGTCGTACACATATCGATTTTTTTTCCTTTGATTTAACAATCATGCACTTTCAAAAAACTTTCATTACACTATTATTTCAATGTACATGCACATTTTAGAAAATCAGCACAAATACCTAAGTGTACACGAATAACTATCACGCATCTGGATTTCCTTAATGCCTGAATCAAGCAAACTTGAACGACATTCAGTACTATAACTTCACGTTCTACGATGAGTTTTATTGAAAACACTATAAATGACACTAGTTAACATTTACCTTTTTAATGCATTTCGAAAAAAATAGAAATATTCCGAAGTACAATTATTTTGACTTTTCGCGATAATCACGCGGGCGCTACTGCTACAGCAAATGGGATACCCACGTAAAATGGCTACCATTCCTTTGTACCTTCTAACGGGATTACAAATATGTCACATTGATTGTGATTGGTTAAAATTCTTACTCTGTCGGTTGAATTTCGGCGAAGGACCAATCACATATTTCGTTATAAAATTCAAGTTAGTACACTAGAAGTTCACAATTATTCACATGTGTCGCTAGTGAGCAAGATGGAAGGATATGGCTACGTTTTCATTGGAACGATTTTTATGAGTAATTTATATGAAGAGAATGATAAAATGATATAAATTAGAAAACTTGCTGAAATTTGTTTGGTAAATTATAATAAATATTTTGAATATTTTTGAAAAACTAATTACAAAATTACAATAATTAAACTAGTTTCTATTTCTAAATTCATAAGTATTATTCAATAAAATTATTAATCATAAGATTGTTAATAAGTATATTAAATACGTAGAATATTTATTTAAATTGTAAATTGTTCATGAAATCGTAGCACTTAAAAAATACAATAAAATGTATATAAAAAATGAAATAATAGGGAATTTTTAAGTTATGTGTGTGGTGGTGTGTGTGTGGTGTGTGTCGTGTGTGTGTACACACTCGGGAAATTTTATCATTTCTAAATCATGAAACGTCATAATTTAATGGCGGGATTGGGAGAAAACGTCATTGTGACAGAATGGCAGTAAATCTGGAAAGTCAGTTACAATTTCTGTTAAGTACTTGTCTCTGTATTTATTTTATAAAAATGGAACATCGTGTATTTGGTAAATCGTAAAAACGGAGTACAGAGAATGTGTCGTGAACAGTTTCTTTCAGTGCTGATAGAAGAAAGTAAATCTTATTAAAAAAAAGTGCATTATAAAATTTCGGTTTGCCGTTAACGTTGAACGGTTGCGAAAACTGTACGTGTCGTGTTTGCAAATGCATCGTTAGTTTTATAGGGTTCTTGACCGTAATACGGTACGAATGTAATGGAGGATTATAAATTTCTCTTTAAAGTTGTGCTCGTAGGAAATGCGGGTGTCGGCAAAACTTGTCTTGTGCGAAGATTTACACAGGTATATGTATATACATTTATATTATCAGTTAAATTATATCTGTTAATAAAAAGATATGAAAAAAACTTTTTTTTGATAAATACATTTAATTAACTTACATATTTTCTATGTAAGCTGTTCCATCTGTTTTTATGATATGATGTTACCTTATATAAATTGTCCATTTAGAAAATAGTATTTTACATATGGGTTCTTATTTATTAATACGTAATGTTTGTTTTATAGGGATTATTTCCCCCAGGTCAGGGTGCAACAATAGGTGTTGATTTCATGATTAAGACTGTGGAAGTAGAAAATGAGAAAGTTAAGGTATGCATGTGATGTAATGAATTATGATTCATCCAATATATACAGATATATTTTTTTAGAATAACTTTAATGTTGCTTCTCTTTCAGCTTCAAATCTGGGATACTGCTGGCCAAGAAAGGTTTCGTTCAATAACTCAAAGCTACTATAGGTCAGCTCATGCTTTGATTTTAGTTTATGATATTTCTTGTCAACCTACATTTGACTGTTTACCAGATTGGTTAAGAGAAATTGAAGAATATGCAAGTAATAAAGTTCTTAGGATATTAGTAGGTAAGTAGTATGTGTTATTATATAATTATAAATTAAGTATATATAATATTGTGTTTAGGTAATAAAATTGATCGAGAAGATAGAGAAATACCAACACATGTAGGAGAAGACTTTGCACAAAGACATGGAATGTACTTTTTAGAAACTTCTGCTAAAGAAGCAGAAAATGTAGAACGATTATTTATGGAAATAGCAGCTGAACTCATGGAGGTAATAAAATAGTATAATCCTTTTTCAAATAATATATATTTTAAGATTTATCTATAATTAAATTAATATATTATTATAGCAAGCACGTAGTAAGGAATTACCTAGATATGAAACAAATACAACCTCAATAAATGGAAAAACAACATCAATTGGTGATACAAGTAATTGTGGTTGCAGCCGACTTTCTTAAGTAGTTTTTATATCTATTATTAAGTCATCCAAAAAATGCATAATTTCAGTTACTAAATATGTATGTAGAACACTATCATACAGTTTTTATAGAATATGAGGATTAAATGCAATATTAGTCGATTTACAACAAAAAAGATTTTAATACTAGAATATCTTTGATATTATATGTTAGCATCTAGTGTTATATCATGCAGATTATATAATAATTTTGTTGCAAACATTTAATATTTAAAATTGAACTTTAACTATGTTGATAAATATTTGTTCCCAAATTTGTTTTCATAGATATTGATTAAAGTCTGTAATATATAATTTTATAATTTTATGATTGTATTATTTCAATAACATTAAAAAAGTCAGGCACCTATTTTTTGACATTTAATTGTGTCCATAAATGAAACTTTACTATATGTTTTATAATATTTTTATTATGTCAGAAAGTACAAATAAGTATTTCCTATTTGGTGACTGAATATGAAGTCATTATGAATATAAGATTTTTACAAAAGTTGTAAGCCTAATATCGTCCAGAATTTTTCCAAATCTGCAGTATACACATACATGTTTATTATACTGCTTTAAGAGTCAAGTGAAATTTGATAATAAAGTTCTAAATATTTACAATTTATTATAAATATTGAAAATTATAAATAATTTTTTACTTGACCATTGCTTATTATGATAGGTGCATAAGATTTTTAGATTAACTTAACAACATTCACAGCCAAAGTTTTGTTGTATCTTTTAAGATTTGTAATACTTAGATGGCGGGTAATTAATACTTGTTCCATCTATGTATAGTTATCAGCGTTATATTTTATAAATTTTTAGTAATATTTATGTTTATAGGTAAGATTTTTGTTGTTATCTCATCTTATTACATCAACGACACAATTCTTTTAGCACGTCACTCTAGTCTTTATATCTTTTTATATTTTAAATACAAAAGTTAATTATAAATTATACTCTCATGTTTTTTATAATTATATTATTATATAATGGATTACCTCCATTTTTTACAAACTTTTATTAGAAAAGTCAGCTATATCATGTTTATTTTCACACAATTTAAAATTGAAAATTTGTAAAATAGAATCATGTATGTGGATATTTTTACAAGTATATTTGAAATTGTTTATTTGTATTGATATCTATATTGTACCTCAAATAGTTTAATAATTATAATGTATAGAGGAATAATAAAATATTTCACGTAATGTTTTGTTAATAAAAAAGTTATATTACATTTAATTTATTTCAAATATATGATGACATTGTATATTGTATTACATAAAAATTGTGATTTTTATATAATTATACTGTTTTAGCTGTAATGTAATAGTAAACATAAAGCTTTAAATTACCATTTAATTACAACCATTGTATAATAACATTTATTAATAATATAAATTTTAAATAACATACAAGATGCACAAAAACTTTTAATAAAAATTAATTTAAGGGATAAAAACGTATCAGTTTGTGTACAGATAAAAAATAATTATAGTAAGAAAATATCTTATAAAAAAAGATATTAATTATTCAAAACACAATCTAAAACATAGAGATAATATGCTGCAAATGATTGTGACAAAGCAATTCTAGATTTAAAAGATGTAACAAGTTATAAATAATTTTATTTCATCTCATAGTATTACAATCTACAATATTATCATTTTATATTTAATATACGCGCAATTAAAATGTATTTCAATTGATTGCCAAAATGAATACTTATAAAAGGTATGCTATATATATATTAAGTTTGCTGTAGTTTGCTGTAGTTTCGGAAAGTTTTAAAACTTCGCTTGATATTCTATATAAATAAATTAATTAATTAAAAATATATTTATTTAAAAGATTGTTTTATTCAAATATATACGTATAATATATACGTATATATATACGTAATATACGTATTATATATACGTCGCATTTACAAAATAATATTTGCATAGATAATTCTAATTTTTTTTGTTAGTTCACTTTATGTAATTCCGTTAAGTACAAAATAAGTTAAATTAATTTTTATAATTTATATTTTTATTATACATATTGAAAAAAGTCTTTTAGTTGTACTTGCTGAAGAGATAATTCAAATAATTTTTCTTGAACAGATGAATTCAAAGCATCTGGATGGATTTCACCTGGACAACAATTACTGATGTACATACCACCATGATTTTCAATTGCTTTGTTTACAGCTGCATATACAATTGAAATAGCACCTTGTCTAGGAGTCTGGAAAAAATATATTTTATTACATCATCATTATTTTAATTATAATATTAATAATTTAATTTTAATTTTAATATTCTCTTTAGTTTATTTACCTTAAGAAAAATTTTATAAAATAATCTATATTTCCAAATAAAAGAATTTATAAAAAGTTCTGTAAATACTACTCCAGGATGTACAGAATAAACTTGAACATGATACTGCCTTTCTTTTAAAAGATGCTGCAATCCTTTTGTAAATATTTCCTGTGCTAATTTGCTTTGTGCATATGCGCATTTAGGAAGAAATTTGTTTCTAATGAATAAAATTTACATCAATGACGCTATGAATTGAAAATGAGAAATATGCAATGCAAAGTAGAATAATAATTAACCATACTTGTTATTAACATCATGGAAATTAATTTTACCCAAAAGATGAGCACAAGAAGTTACATTAACAATTCTACTAACTTGATTAGGCTGTCCACCAACTTTTAATAGTGGTAGTAATAGTGCTGTTAATAAAAAATGTGATAGATAATTTACAGACCAATGTTCTTCAAAACCATCTACTGTTTCAGAATAAGGATGAAACATGATACCAGCTATAATAATAAATAATAAAATAATATTAATTTTGCTTTAAAAAATTTTTTATATACTAATAATTAGCTTTTATTTACTATTAGCTTACCATTATTAATTAAAATATGAATCTGTTCATAATCTTTTTTTATTTTCATAGCAAATTGTCTTACAGATTCCAAAGATGTATTGTCAAGTGTATATACTTTTGCTTGTCCCGTCTTGACGCCAGATTCTCTAATTTCAAGAATAGCCTTTTCACCCGCAGAAGGTGTCCTACAAGCTAAACAAAATATTTTAAAGTTTATATGAAATGCCGAAAAAAATAGAATTTATAAATAGTTAATTTTTAAATGTACCAATTATTACTTCCATGTCAAGTTCTAAAAGCATTTTTACTACTTCAACCCCAATTCCTCTAGAGCCTCCTGTTACAATTGCAATTCTTCCTGGTTGAGGTAAACAATCTTAAAAAAGAATAAATAATATAACATAATTATAATATAATATAATTATAAAATATCATAATTTTTATTAATTATTAATATTTCATATCTATGTAATAATAATATTTATCTTTCAATTGATATAAGTAAACTAATAATTTATTTCAATTTTTAAAAAAATGTTTATCAATTTTTGTTTTATTAGAAAATGTTAAGAAATTATAATTTTTATCAATAGTGGAGTTTTATCAATTATAAAAAAAATTCGTTACGAAAAAAAGCAGAGAAATCGTATATTAATTGTGTAATATATATTTTAAATTTTAATATAGAAATTTAGAGAAAAATACTTAAAAACGTATAAAACATTTAATACTTACCATTTTTATTTTTTTTTGCACTCATCAAATCATTTATAATTTCTTTAAAAGCTAGTAAACTATATTTTATATCTAGGACAAAAATGGGCCAATTTCTTCGTAAATTATGATACATAAAGCCACTTGCAACTATAGCGCAGATCATGCCGATGAGCAGCATTTTTCTAAATGTATTTTTGCAATATAAAAGAAATATCAATTTGTTTTACAAATTTTCAAAACAGATTGATTGTCACATTAAAGTGTCAATGCGAATAAAGAACTGAGTTAAGTAAAATACGTGCGGTATATATATTGCAGAGATAAGAAGTCTAACGGGACACGCAGAGGCACCAGGAGTATTTCCTTCTTCAATTTGCAGTCACACTATTATATGATTGCATTTTCAGCCAATTATGTATCCTTATCCTTATGATTGCATTGGATCTATTAGAAATGACCAATCAAATCTGCATTCCTTTACTTGGACTTCTCATCTCACTTGTTATTATTCCGTTTACTTTAAGCCTTTTTTATATTTCTTTTGCAACTCAAAGTACACGTCTTTTTGCTACTTTACATTTTCTAATTTATAACGTAATATCTTTAATGAATGTATGACAAAGTCTTTTTTTCAAAAAACCATGTTAACACATGAATTGTCCTGTAAAATTTATACTTTGTTTATGCGTTGAAATATTTAATTTTTATGAAATATTATATTACAATGAAAACGTATTTTTCATTTTGTAGCATTATCTGATTATGTTATTTTAAATCTTTTTTGTCAATATATTCATCTTATTTTAATCATTTTAAAATATTTATGATTAACAAAAATATCAGACATCGTTAATTATTGTGGCTGTCAACGTGTTACTTGTCAAAGAATATTGATTTGACTTAAACATTAATCCATAAATTATAGTATTGTGCGTATCTATAATTACAAATAGAGTTGTTATTGCATCGAAATTTTAATCTATTCAATAAGAGGGGAGCAGTAGCATAAACAAAATGTTCACGTGTTTGCTATAACTTGTATTGAATGTTAATGAATATCAGTTGCTGATACTAGTCTCGCTATTTTATGGTTCCTTAAAAATATTTGGACACTCTTTGAAACTAATAATTTGTTTTATTTTATTTATTCTATTATTTACGTATGTTTATATTGTAATGAAAGTGAACACAAATTATTATTTATAACTATTATAGTTCGTATCGTTAGAAAAGTTAGACATTTTTAGATATTTATATATCTAGATAGAATTACGAATAGAATTAATTTATTATTAAAATTAGCAATAAATTAGAATTCGACATAGATAAAATTAACATGATGGACATGGACAGCATAATGGACAGCATGAATAAACAGATTTTTATCGTCTTTCAAAACTAACCTTTGGTAGCAACGCTAGGATATTTAAATGATTTGGAATTCCTTGTATGAATATTAGGTTAGTAAATCCATAAAAGATGTTAAAGAATATTCATTCTTAACTAAAATATTTTTTAATCTTTCAATTCTTATAAATATTTTTCAATTTACATTTTTGTCAATAAAAATTTGTATCAATTATATAATTGTAAAATTTGTATAAATCATAATTGTAATAATTTTTTTTAATTATTAGAACTCAATTACTATAGACGAAATATATAAATGTACTCGTACACCTCGTTTGTGATAGTAGACGCACAAATATAGTACATATATGTAGTTACAAAATACGTACAATGACTAATTAATGACTAACCAATAATGGCTTAACATAAAAATACATGAATGAATATTTACGTTAGATGTAATGTATATAATGAATGCATCCTTGAAGAAGTTGTTAAAGGATTTTTAAATAAAAACACAACTTAGATAATGTATTCTTTTTTTTTTTAATTTTCAATAATTCAATAAAATGCCGTTAGAGTACGGTACATAACATATCGCCAACACCATCTATTAGAGAAATTAGAAATCTGAAACTCGAAACTCAGGGTAATTATTAAGGTACCTGGGGAAAATATTATATATAGAGATTGAATTTACGTATGTATGTAGATGCACAACGTTATTATACTCATTGCAATTTAAGTTTATGCGAGTGTTTCAAGGAATTGAAATTTTTTCATTTAATAAAGAAGCATTTAACCTATCGTTATATAAAGTAAGTACTGTTGAAACGATTATAAAATTGTAAAATAATTCATTTATTGAACGTAATTTGTAAATAAGATTTTCATATAATAAAAAATTAGGTTAAATATTTTCTAAAAGTATTAGCTATTGTTCGAACTTTATAAAGTTCAAAGTTTTCCTTAGTAGCAATAAAATTGATAAATTGTTATCATATTTATAAGGTATTGTACTTAATATTTCATTTAAATTAGATACTTTCACTTTAGAAAATAGGACGCAATTTACATTTCATACTTTTAAAAAAGTTTTTGAATAATTGTTTTAAATCTGATAAAAATATGAAAAAGATGTTTTATACAAATTTTATATAAATGTTTTCAAAGTTAGAAATTGTGATATTGATTTGAATTTTATTTAACAAACAGGATGGCAGATACTATAGGTACAACAACAGGCGATAATTCTATATACGTGGAAAAGGGCTGGTTTGCTTTGAGGCAACACATTATTGATAATAAGATTAAAGTTGGATTATGGGTTACAAGACTTTTTACTATTATATTTACTATTGGTTATGTCATTCCAATATTTGGGTATGTTATTGCAAATTATTTTGTCATTTGAATCGAAAAATTAAATTTTGTGTTTTTGTGTTACATTACAGTAATTCTTATAATATTTATTACAAAGTATTAATAAGTAATGCAGCAACTAGTGCATTACGCCTTCATCAAAGAGTACCACATGTTCAATTAAATAGGCAATTTTTGGAACATTTATTTATTGAAGATTCTTGCCATTATTTATTTTATTCTTTAATATTTCTTTATGCAGCTCCTGTCACATGTATCCTTTTGTATAATAATATAAAACACAAATAGAAATAAAATACTTATTTATTTGGACAAATTTGTCACGGAATGTAACAAAAATTATTTTTCTTAAATGATTAATTAGTGGTATTGACTCCTATATTTTTATTTGCATTAATACATTTTGCCTCTGGCTCTCTCGTATTACTTGATGTAAGTAAAACAGTTTCATTTTGCATTGCTGAGTCATACCATTCTAGTGTAATTTAATGCACAGTCATCATTATAATAACTGGTTATTATTTTGTTTTTTTTTTTTTTTAATTAAGTGTTTAGGACAGAACAGCTGGTGGGGAGCACGGCTTTTAATATCGTTGGTTGAATTTCAGTCACGAAATATTTTACGAGTTTGTGCATTAACTGAGATAATTATCTTGCCATTTACAGTTCTTCTTGTATTTACGTATGTATAATTTATTAATTTTCAGAAACTAGATATTGTACAACTAATTTACAAAAGGAATTTCTTATAGGGGTCGTGCTGGATTATTAACACCTTTTATTTATTTCCAATTCTTGAAATTCCGTCTTGCATCCCAAAGAAATCCTTTTACTCGTAATGTGTTCTATGAAATCAGGGATGGACTAAGTTCAGTCTCAAGGAAACCAACAATGCCAGTTATAGTGCGACAAATAATTGAAGGTCTACTATCACTTACACAACAAATGGTGCCTATTCGTCAGTAATTTTTATCTTAAACAGATGTATTAAATTATCAAAAATTTCCTAGGGTTCTAGGGTCCATGTAATAATAATTTCATATAATTGGATGATAAAATGAGTGCAAATGTAAAAAACAATAAACTTATGATCTGTTATTTAAAATAAACATAAGAATTATTAAGTAATATTTTAAAACTTTAATTGATATTTGTACTCATTTTTTGATATCATAGACGATAAATTTTTTCCGAACTATTTCATACAATTTATTATGAAATTAGATCTAGAATTTATTTACTAACACCAAAATATTCGTATAAATAAATTATGCAATTGAACTTATAATATTTTATGATATATAATACCAATCTGTAATAAGATTATAACTATATAATTCTAAATCACATAGAATCTAAATGAGTCCATAGTACAATGTTTGCTACAGTAAATATCTTTAAAACTTAGTATGTTATACTTTTCAGTTCTAAAAATTTCACTATTCAATTAATAAAACAAGTCAAATTTGCACTGTAATTCATAGTGATAACTATGAAAAAATTAACTAATGTATTAAGTTGTAATGTATAAAATGTTCATTGTATCAATTTTCTAAATCCTTCCTTTTTTAAAACAAATATTTTTATCTCATTTTGTATCATGTGTAATTTTAATTTTTTCGTATATAAATATTTTTAAGATTCACTGAAATTATGAATTATTAAAAATAGGACATTTTATATATTATAACATAATAATTTTCACATTTTTTAAAGTATATTTCATTATTGTTTGTTTATATTGATACAACTTATATTTTTCGGGGAAGGTTGAAAGCATGTTAAATAAGTAATTTTTCTATTGTTTGATATAGATATGAGTTATTCTATGGATATTCTGGCGAGACAGTATTTAATTGCTTAGTCATAGTTGATTGTCTCAAAAAATATTTTAACGTAATTCTATCGTAAATGTTATTCACAAATTATATTAAATGTTGAATTAAGTTTAAATTCAAATGTAAATTTTCATAAATAAATATATAGAAACAAATATTTTTTATTATGTTATGATTATGAAAGAGAATGTATCTCTATATATTTGTTTCTTTGTGTTCTTATTTATGTTGTTATTAAATTAAAAAAATGAAATAAAATATTTCTTTTAAAAGTTTATTTTCATTTATATATAAATTACACCGCAAGTGGCATAGGTTGTGGTAAATCCTTCGATGCTTTTACTTCAGATGTTGGTTGTGAAGGAAATATTTCATCCTTTGGTTCAACGATTGAAACAGAATCTGGAAGAGGCTTTTTGGGACCTGTTTTGCCATGAGGATCATATGGGAGCATAATTTTTACTTTAATACCAAGCACACCTAACACAAAATGATAAATTAAATCACAATTAAGCTCAATTAAATTAAAATCTATTTTTTTGATTAATTTCTTGGTGAACATACCTTGTCGAAGAAGTACATGACGAGTTGCAGTATTGACATATTCATTGGTTGGTTCTCCAGAGTGGATCATCAATCCATCAACAAATTTCATTGATTTTGCTCTTTGTCCACGTAATTTACCACTAACAACTACTTCACAACCCTTTGCTCCTGATTCCATAATGAAACGGAGAACCCCATAACAAGCCCTGTTATTATTTATAACTATTATAAATTTATATATTAGAAGTTTATATAATTTATCTAAATGTTTAAACTAACCGCCGTACAGCTAGACCTCCAATTAATTTGAAACGTAGGGACTCTGCTTGAGCAATAGCGCAAAGACCACGAGTTGCAACTTTTTCAGCATACAATTCAATATTTTGGGTTTCTTTGAAATTAAATCGTTTTTGTACAACAGAGGTTAGTTCTCGGATTCTACGACCTTTTTCACCAAGAACACTCTGTGTATGAGTTGCCAGCAATATAATCTCCGTACGATGGGGAGTAACACGTACTTCTACTCCTGAATATCCATCTTCAGAGAGTTCACGCGTTAAGAACTCATTTAATTCAGCTTTGAAGACTCCGTCTCCAACAAACTGGAAAAAGGAAATTATATGATATATACAATCTTAAAAGGTTATAAGTTAACCTAAAAGTATGCGGTCGGTTAACATAAACATAACTTAATTAAATATAAACTTGAACATTAACCAACATATTTTGGTTAGTTTGACAATGCATGTAAATTATCCTAATATCTGTGGAAGTAAAATATGTGAAATATGTCATAGTATAAAATGTATACTATACATCTGAAGTGAAAACATCTGCAAGTATCCATGTCATCCATAGCTTTTATGTGTCATTTTTGTTTGCTTTTTCATAAAATATTTTTTATATAACTTTAATTATCATAATAAACATCATATTTTTACGAATTATTCGTTATAAATTATGAAAATCCACAAACCTTTCTTTTCTTCGAAATTGAACGGTTGTCCATGTTTTATGTTGGCGACATAAAAGGAATTGAAAAAGGAATAACTGGAAGCGGAAATGATGCACTTACACAGAGTGTCATACGAGTGTTAAATTAATATTTCTAATAAAAAAATTACTTAAACAATACATATTATTTCTTTAGGAAAAAAGTTAATATAATTGTTTTAATAAGAAAAAATAAAATTCAGAGTAATTTAAGATTATTACTAGTTTTATTACTAGGTTTAGATAGAGGTTTAGGTTAGGTTAAGAAAAACACTAGATAGTTTTAAAATACTTTTACATATGTATATATGTATATGCAGCAGAATAATTAAATATATTTTTTTAAATAATTATTTTAAAGCAGATATGCAAGTTCGATAATTACCTTAATATAAGTGTTTGGCATGTAAAGAAGCAGATACTGTTTAATGTTAACTTAACTTCTATAAAAAAAATTTATTCCAGAGATAATTTAATTTAATAAGAAGGTAAATTCTAGACTAATAACATTATATCTACTGTATTTGTATCTACTGTAACTTTTTTTTGGTTGGAAAGATATGAAGATATTGACCACCATTACAATATGTACTAATTAGATTTACTTCTTACGGCCCTGGTGCTATCAAAACACACATGCATACCGTGATATACCTTTATATGAACATTATGTATATAAGTATATTCTATTGAGTCATGTAATAAAGATACACTTGTGTATAGGTTTTGTTGTTGCGTGCAGTGTACTTTGCTTTGGAATTATGTTTTATCCTCGACATGGAGTGGAAAACAGTTGCGTTTATAGTGTTGGTAGTGAGTTTATGCTTTTTGGCAATACCAATTAGAGTGGATCCTGATACTAGCAACGAGGATATTAAGCTTTTCCAGAATTATGTCACACGCTATAACAAATCTTACAGAAACGTTCCATCAGAATACGAAGAACGATTTAAACGATTTCAGGTAAGCCACAGAAATTCGTGAAAATACCACATAGCCGATAAACAATTCACATGATGCTCATTATACATGAACATCTCACTTTCGAAAATTTCCCGCGTTCTTCTCTGCATCACTGCGTGTTTTTCTTTTCTTTTTCACTTTTATCTATTCTTTTTTATTTTTCTATTTTATTCTATGTTTACAAATCTTTAGGATTCATTTAGATAAAAATTATCGCACCATTTTGATAACACAATCATTAAATTCGTAGAATAATTGATAACCAGTTGCAAAATTTAAAAGTTGTTATCAAGTAAACATTCGATAAAGCGCGTGTACATAACAAAATAAAAAAAGAAAACATTAAATTATTTCTAAGATAAAAAAAGTAGTCAATTAGTTTTTTATAGTATTGAATAAATGAAGATAGCTATGTTCTTGTTATAGAGATCGTTGCGGCATATAGAAAAAATGAATGGTCTCCGATCATCGCAAGAAAGCGCTTATTATGGACTCACTGAATTTTCTGATATGTCAGAAGATGAATTTCTGACGCTAACTCTCTTATCTGACTTACCAGCAAGAGGTGGGCATTCGGTTTACATCAAGCAGTCTGAATATTTATTATTAATAAATAAACAATCCATCAGGAGAGAAACACGTGACTGCACCTTATCATCGCAAACATCATTTATTGCAATCTACTAATCGGATGAAAAGATCGGTTATTGTACCTTCAAAATTCGACTGGAGAGACAAAGGAGTGATTACTCCGGTACGAAGTCAAGGTTCTTGCGGTGCTTGTTGGGCTTTCAGTACCGTTGAAGTTGTTGAATCGATATATGCAATAAAAAATGGCACTTTGTACACGTTGAGCGTACAAGAAGTATGAGCGTTCAATATATCTTTTTGAGATTTAGCCAGAGAGGACAGAAAATTTTATCTATCTTCGATTTTTCCGATAGATGATTGACTGTGCGAAAAATAGTAATTTTGGCTGCGAGGGTGGGGATATATGTAGCTTGCTCTCGTGGTTATTAGCGTCCAAAGTTCAAATATTTCAAGAGTCTACTTACCCACTCGTAGGGAAGACCGGTACGTGTAAACTTGGGAAGTAAGTATGAACAAAAATATTCGAACGATATGGAACACGGATAACGATTAATTTTAAAATATTATTTTTATAGAACGATAGATAAAACACCTGGTATAAAAATACGAGATTTTACATGTGATAGGTAAGAAAATTGCATTATGTGTAATATGACATTAATAGTTTTAAATGAAGGATTTTGTTTAAGTATCAGACATACAATTGGTAAAAGAACGAGAACTCTAGTGTAGTACCGTATCGGTCTGTGCTGCTTTGTATGTAATTAGCTATGTAAAGGTTTTCTTACATAAGCTAACCGGTTAATGTTACTCGTAATATGCATGCGATGATGCTATAGAGCCAAGAATTCTATCTTCTTCTTCAGAGTTTAATCGAATGGAAAATGAATTAAAAAAATTAATATTTTAGTAAATTAAAATTCGTTTAATTGTAAATAACTGTCATCTACAGTCAATAATATTCGTCCACAGTATTTGCTGTTAAGAAGATTAAAGGTTTAACGGATTTTAGTTTCGTAGATGCAGAGGATGAGCTGCTGATAACATTGGCCACTCATGGCCCAGTGGCGGCTGCAGTAAATGCTTTATCCTGGCAAAACTATTTAGGCGGCGTAATACAATATCACTGTGATGGTTCCTTTGATAACCTGAATCATGCTGTACAAATAATAGGATACGACAAATCAGCTGCCATACCACATTATATTATAAAAAATTCATGGGGAACAAATTTTGGAGATAAAGGCTACATGTATATAGGGATAGGCAGTAATTTATGCGGTATGGATTTATCATCTTATATTATTTACATGTCGCAGAGATTTATCAATTTTATATTGAATAGTTTTTTATAACAGGTATAGCGAATCAAGTGTCGTCATTAAATGTTCTTTGAAGCAATCTATCGACATAAACGAAAGTATTTGAAGAAAATATTTATATTGATCCTAAAATGTACATGAAATCTATAAAAGTATTTTTTTAATCAAGGTACTTTGAAAATACATACAATAATATTAATAACAATAATATTAATGACAATAATATTAACAACAATAACATCTTTTACACGTATATTCGATAATTGTTTTACAATTGACAGAATTTTTACGCTATTAGTATTATGCAGCCATTTGTATATTTTTACAATTATTCTAATATAAAACAGAATAAAGATTTATATTGTTATTTCTACATTTACGTATTCGATATTCCATTATCTATTGATTTATCTATATTCATGCATCCTAAAAGTTATGGCATTATCGGGCCATCTCCTACGTATCGTTCACTGTACATTCAGAATTGTTTTGATTGTCATCAGGATTCCATCCGTTGCAAGCAATGGATAATTTTGTCTTCATTTGTTTCGTCAATGGCGGAATCATATGGCGAGGTATCAGAAATGTTGACAAGTTGAATAAATCTAAAAATACCTTGTACCTATCGCTATGAACAAAAAGACATGAATTATCAATGATACGTGTTTTTAAAAATATTTTCCATAAATAAATAAATAAATAAATATATATATATATATATATATACATACACAAATACAGAGTATGTACTGACCTTAAAGTAGATTTTAAATATTGATATCCCGAAGATCCTCCGGTTCCGAGTTGTTGGGAACCAATCATTCTTTGAACCATTAAAACATGATTATCTAGCGAGTAAAATAGAAATGCAAGTATTTTACTTATTACAAAGTAATTAAATCAAATAAATAAATATATCTTCTTACACCTCCACTTAGTAATGAGAGAATCAATGTCCATTAATGCGGTCAAAATTTGATGAGGTTGGCTAAATCTTGGTTCATCGCGGTACAATGTGATCATCACTGCACCTTGAAGGGCGCCGTACGCGAATTTTCTTTCTCCTCGAGATACGAGCGCATTGTGGAGAGATTCATTGAATATTGTCTCGAATACTGCTTTCCGAGAATGTATATTTGCCAAATGATAATTCCTAAGCTGTTCTTTCGTATGTTTCTGTGAAAACAATAAAAAGCATTAAAACTTCTTCAATGCAAAGCTGTTTATCCAAGTAGAATAAATGATTACTCGAGCGAGTTGCTCCTGTTCAACGAGCAATTTCTCGACGGATCGTTTGTATTTCCCCCAGAAATCAAAGTCATGAGGTTCCAGGCCTGGTGTTCGCGCTAACCATTTTTGGACAAGATAACTGAGACTAGGTTCATCTTCTGAACGTTTAATTGCCTCGATGGCTTTTGGATCCCTTCCGAATATTCTTGTGTAACTTTGACTATATTTGACTCTATGATCCTGTTTCACGCCCAATTTATTCTCCAACAGACGAAACTGTAGCGATTGGAAGCCCGAGGCTGGACATAGATAGTCTCTAAATGTCATAAAATCCAGCGGCGTCATGGTTTCCAAAATTGTCACCTGGTCCACTAGTAGCTGGAATCCGAAATTTTTCACTAAAAAAATATCGTCTCCTGGATACGTGAATTTTTCAATATTTGAGTACAGGTTGACCCTTATGGTCTGTTATTGTCTTTGTTGACGTTGAATCGATCTTACTGTGGCTAAGACAACCGCGTTTGCATTTCTATGGGTGCGACGCTTACACTTTTACTGTACAAAGAAGAAGTAATCATTAATCTGCGCAATATGGTAATAACAATTTTCTTATGGTTATTTTGATAGTCGAATTAAAAAAAAAAAAAAAAAAAAA